ATAAATCTTCTCTTCTCTTCTCTTCTCTTCTCTTCTCTTCTCTTCTCTTCTCTTCTCTTCTCTTCTCTTCCCTTCTCTTCTCTTCCCTTCCCTTCCCTTCCCCTTCCCCTTCCCCTTCCCCTTCCCCTTTCTCTTCTCTTCCCTTCCCTTCCCTTCCCTTCCCTTCCCTTCTCTTCTCTTCTCTTCTTTCCTTCCTTCCCTTCCTCTTTCTCTTTCTCTTTCTCTTCCTCTTCTAATCTCTTCTCTTCTTCTCATCCAAGAAGCTTCTTCACTCAGACTGGAGGATGGAAGGATTTATATTCCCTGCAGACAGCTGCTCATTTGCGTTCTTTTTGAGGACACTTGGGAGGTTTATCGGAAAAGCTCAGGGGAATCTTCAGCCAACACAACACACATGCACCCTTCAAACCCAAGAATGCGCTAAAACAGAAGCCTATCCATCCCAAAGATAAAACATCACAAGACGCAAACTGAGCCATGTGGTCTGTGCAGTACAACACAGTGAGCCACGTGCAGATCTGTACACTGGGGAAACCAAACAGCCACGTCACGAACGCAGGGCGCAGCCCAGGAGAACCCACCCATCAGGGCTCGATTCAGCAGCCCACCTCAGGGGTGGGATTCACATTTTTTTAACAACTGGTTCTGTGGGCGTGGCTAGGTGGGTGTGGCCATGTGACTGGGTGGGCGTGGATTCTTTTTTTTCAGCCACAACCACACACCCCAGTTTGGGGGGGCCTCCTGGACCTCAGGAAAGCCTCCTGGCGGGCATTTTTGTCCCCAGACGGCTTCCCTGGGGCCCAGGAAGGCAAAAAACAGAGCCCAGGGAGATGCAGCGCCCCTGCTGACGCCCCATTTTGTCACCTGGTCCTCAGGGGAGCCTTCACCCAAGGCTTCACGCAGGGATCCCGGCACAGCTGATCATTGGCACAGCTGATCATTGGCACAGCTGATCGTTGGCACAGGAAGTGGGGGGGAAATACCTTAAGGAGTAACTGGGCGAGGGGGAACCCAGCCAGTGATGTCAGACACGTGTGCAATGTTGCACCGGCGCAATAAGGACTGACTGGGGCGGGGAGGGGAGGGGCAGGCAGAGAAGGGCGGGGCCAGCCAGAGGCGCGATTGGCCGGTTCTCCCAACGGCGCAGAATCGTAACAGCCGGTTCTACGGAACCGGTGCAAATGGGTAGAATCCCACCCGGGGTCCACCTGCATTTAAAAGACACCGGCCGCTCTTGTGAAGACAATCGACTCCACATTTTAGACAGAGAGGACTGGTGGTTTGAAAGAGGGGTCAAAGAGGCCATCTATGCCAAAAAAAAATGAACATTTATTGGTGAACAGGTACTGCAGAATACAACCTTCTTACTTAACTTTCTCCACCCACCCACCCACCCACCCCGATTTTTTTACAGGCACCAAGTCACATTTCCCAATTTTCCTGATTTTTTTCGGGAAAAAAATAAACCGCCTGTCTTTTCTTCCAGAAACAGAGCTTTCCTTTCAGGATGTTCCTGCAGAGATGGAGCTTCCCCTACAGGATAGTGCTGACGGCAAAGCTCTTCTTGTCCACGGAAGGGGACGATGGTTGTGGTAGTCTCCTACCCTGTCTTCCTCCGTCTCCTCCTTCCCTTTTGTCTCTCTTTCGGCCCCTTCCCTCCTTCCGCCTCAGGTTCTGTCTCCAAATGAGCAGCCCCTCTTGCAAGTTCAACTTTTTCTCCAGGATGTTACCCAAAATGGCCATCTTCTCGCTAGCTGGAGACCTCTGTTCCTGGGGTTTCTTGTGGACCCCTTGCCTAGGAACCTCCAAAGCCTGGCTGAGCTTGGGGTCCAGACTCCTGACGACAAGAAGTTCCTTGTGCGTTTCCTTGGAAGACCAATTCACCCTCACCTGTTTCTTCTTCCTGGCTTCTGGGGGCCTTCCAGGTGAACAGCTGGTAGACCTTAGCCCTCTAGGGTGAGGACGCTGGGCCCCACTGTCCTCCTGCCCCATAGCTTCTTCTTGCTTGAGGTCTACTGGAGTCTGCCTTTTCAGCCAGGTGACTAGATCCTTACGGTCTGAAATCTCCCCTGGCTTTGGGACACCATGATCTTCAGGAAATCCCACTGTGGCTTCTGCTACTGTGCTGTAGACCTGATCCCTTGATTCTTCTGAGGGGGCCACCGAACAAAGGGCAGTCAACTCGGCTAAATTTGGAGGGTGTCTCACTCCCAAGGAACTAGCCCATGTCCAACTGTCCATCTCTTCTCTGAGGGACTCTTCTGTCCTCTTGTTCTGATCTTCCCACTTCACCTCCAACTTTCTCCCCTGGTCCCAATCGTCGACCCTCACGCTGCCTTGGGACCTGGTCTCCAGGGACAAAAGGTTCCGCTCCTTAGCTATGGAAAAGGCGACCCTCTCCATTCTCCCCTCTTCCTTACCGTCTGTCTTCAGGGTCAAGCTGCAACTTTCCTGATGGACCTGAAATTCAACGTCTGTCCTTACAAAGTCTCGATTTTGAAGGGTGCCCTTTCTACTCTCCTTGGGGAGTTGAACAACTTGGCCTTCTGTGGAGGACCCGTTTCCTCTAAAGAATGAAGGATGCTGCAAGCGGAGGAACCTCTCGCATTCCGAAGACCACTGCTCCATCCGTTGGGTTCTACAAAATGCTTGGCACCTGGTGGCTTCCCCCAGAGAGCGGCCAAGGAACTCTCTCCACGTAAGCCTACTTCCTCTCCATTGTCGCCTGCTCTTCTGTGTTGCTTGATGCTTCCTCCCGAGCTGCCTGTAATGTCTGGCTACAACATCCTCGTAGGAAGAACTGGGAACATGAACATGGTGTGGGAAGAAATATGAAGCTTGTGGAGAGATGGGAGTATGATACAGTTGAACTTCACAAGGCCTGCCATACATCTTGGCAGTTTCTGGCTCTTGGACAGAAGAACGGCTCACGTCATCTCCTGAGGACTCTTCCAACCCTTCCATGTTGTCTCCTGAGGACCAAGGAGAATCCTGTGCTTCATTGTCTTCTGATAGTAGAGAGGAATCATCTGCCACACCTTTCCCCATCTCCCAATGGACTTGGTTCTTCTTCTTCTTCTTTTTCTCTGGCCATTTGGGTTGCCTATCAGACTTTGACGAGGAGATGGAGGTTTTGGGGAGGCCTGATGAAAGGTAGGAGAGACAGATGGGTATCTTAGGAGACTTTATCAGTTCCCTGCTAGCAGTTGAAGTTTTTGGAGTCGTCGTCAGCCCTTCGAGAGAGCCTCTCTGTTTGGTTGTCCTCTGAGAACCGTCTTCCTTCTGCCAGCTGTCCATCTTTGCCTCAAAGCCCGGAAGAGGCATCACGTTCTTCACCCTCGGCGTGGTCCTTCCACTTCCAAGGTTCACTTTTTGGAAGCTGACTTTCCTTTCAGGTTTACCAACGTCGGACCTGTCATTGATGTATGAAGGAGAGGAACATGGCAGGATCTGAAGATCTTCTGTCTCCTTAGAAGTCCACGAAGGTGGCTGCACATAGGTGGCTGTGGGTGGAGAGGGCAAGAGAGGCAGGGATTCAGTCACCTCAGAGCGAGAAGTAGATCTGGGGGGCAGGAACACCCTCAGAGGTCGTTGAACCCTTTCGGGAAGTCCCCATCGGTGCTCCGATACAAGATGTCTCAGGTGGGCCTCCAACAGTTCCTTTTCCTCAACGCTAAGGAAATTGAGGTCTTGACTAAGGATTTGTACTTCTCCATCACACGGGGGAGTCTTGGCCACCATCCCTAGAGTGCCCTTCTCAGCTTTCAAGAGATGTGGTGCAAAAGCTTGCAACGATTCTAGCACCATTGATGGCAAACCCCAGGCGTGTTGGATCTTCTTCCATAGGACGTGGAATTCCAGAAG